TTGAGCACTTTCTGGCACTTCCGACTTTCGCTTCTTTTTCAGCAACATGTTGCAGCATGGGTCTGTTACAGGTTTTTTTTGCTGTTTTCCGCGTTATAGTAAATGAAATAAATGACAATTTTTTTGCTGAAAATTTTGTACCTTTGGCAGCTATTAATGATTTATTTGATGATGCGACGAAATAGAGAGTGAGTACTGATGAAGAACGTTCTAACCTTATTTGATCTATCTCTAATAAAGATTAATTTGATTGAAAACATTATTAATGAAGTAGTATTTTTGGGATGTACCATCATAATGTTCTAATCGGTTTAGTTATCAATTTCTCTTGCTGCAGACTGTTACAAAAAAAAGATCAATAATGTAGTATATATCAATAATGTAGTATATATTTTTGTATAATACAATTTCCAATTTCAAGAAAATGTGAAACTTATACGATGGTGAAGATAATATTAATTATTGTACAAATAATAATTTTTAAAATAAAAATTGTTGCAAATATATAAATATATATATTGTTACGTCCACGATAAATAACTATATAGGGAAATTTGAAAGTAGTGAAATCAGTAACTTACGTGGACGGTCAACAGAGTGATGACTCTGCTTTTGGGTCACTCTGCTTTTCACCGAGTTTACCCTGGGTCTCCGGAGTCTGGCGAAACGATCGATGAATCGATCGAGAAATCAGCGCTGCTCGTTCTCCTGGCTCGGTCTCGGATATTACGGCGCTGCGCGGTATGATGCGGCCCGCGATTCCGAATTTCGATTTCGTAACGTTCGAAAAATAAAAGGTAGGCAAAAGTAATTGCAACACAGTCGGATTTTACGACTAATATATTTCAAATAAGTACACGAGAATTACCAGAGACTAATTATGAGAAGAAATAATCAACAATTTATCAACAAATTATCAACAAATGCGCGTGTTTTTATATGTCGCTTTGTCGCTGAGAGTCGTTTCCTGATTGGCTGATGGAGTCATGGAGATGGAAGAGATTCATCCCATCGGTATGTTGTCATTGCGTCGATATCGCCGCGTCGACCCTGAGTGGTGTTTGGATTCAGTTTTCATGGTCCTGTTTATGTTAGCAGCAGGACGCCTTATCGCATTGAGCGATTACGGTTTCTATTGTCTACAGTTGACCCATCGATTTTAAGACTCTCTAACGATACGCAGTGTTCAGCATTATAATTTTAATTATAATATTTAACGTGCGCGAATATACATATGCGCACGTACTTTCGTCTAGTAACATAGGTATAAAATATCTAGTGATGTCTGAAATCAGACAAGTCGACTTCCGATCTATATTAATATATTATTAATGTTTCAAAATAAGTCCGGACGTTACAATATATATATATATATA